CATATATATATATATATACAAAAAAATATATGTTTGCAGATTACTTAAGCATGTACATTTGGAGCCAAAATCATATACAAATGCCCATAAATCCAAAACGTAAACTACATAAATTAGAAATTTGTATTTATACGAACGTTTTCGCATACGAAATGCGGGTCACGTGCGCGGCTTTATAACCACAACTAGGCGAACCTTTTGCTGATTACGACGTGACCAGTAAGCGAGCCATCAGAAAAAAATACAACAGCATAACAGTTATGTTTTGTGAAATTATTTTAAATTATTTTTGATAATTGAATGAAACACACGAGCATAAAAATGATTTATTGCCATGTTTCGCATTTTGAAATCAACAGAAGGATAACGGATTGTTGGCACGCTCTTGAGTTATTATCCGCGCATGCGCCAATGCCCACAACTAAAGGTTGAGAGCAGGGAGCGGGGGCTGTGACAATTGACACGTGCCTTTGTTTACACATAGTAATGAAATTTCAACAGCAAACAGCATCAACATTTGTACGCATTCTAGAGTGAATAAGTGTGTGCGTGTGTTGCTTGAGTGTGTGTGTGTGTGTGTAACTATGTGTGTGGTGCCGGAAATTGCGCATAAATGCGACTAATTTCATTGGGCAACAATGCGGCCAATAAACATTTCCAAAGCATCAAAGTCCTATACAAATTTTGGAGAGCAACAACAGCTCAAGATTTCGAAATTCAATGCATATTAATGAGTTCTCTGATAATTGTATTGAAAACTCGTCTTTGAAAAGTAGAAGCCAACACAGCTAATGGCCATCAGCTGGCATCCTTATGCCCTTCACAATATCCCTGTGCACATAGCTGTCGACCTTGCACATTTTTCATACCTCAACTCAAAATATATTTGGCGGGGTCTCGTGCATTTTTAGCTTATTTTTGTACATGGCAACATAAATTATAGACGGCCCCACGATTGTAGCATCCATTCGTTTAGTTCATATTTTTGGTTGCCAGCCTTGAGTGCAGCAAATGCAAAATATCACGTCGAAACAATGCAGTTCCACAGATAACTCTGTGAGCCTTGCTGGCCAAAATATGCAGCTAACTTCATGCTTCGCAGCAGCTAAGTCTCCGGCCGGGGCAAGGTTAGCCATTAAAGGCCAGCCACGCTAGGTTTAAAGCAATTGCATTTGTTGATTTTAAGTAATTAAATAGCAATTTAAAATGTATACAACGCCTTCGACGGAAGTGCGGGTAGACAATAACGTTTCATTGCCAAAGTTTTCACTGTAAAATACATTCAAAATACTTTTAATCCCAATTTACATAAATATTTATGCTGATGGTGCTGAAATTTGCTGCCCCTCCTCCCGTCTCTCTCACACCATTGGCGCTAATGTGCCTTAATCTTTAATGAGCCAAGTTTCACCAGTCAGCCAGTCGCGGCTGTTGGTTGTTTGGTTCCAGGTTTTGGTTTCGGGATTGGTTCTAGTTTTCCACTGGTTTTCCTTATGTAGTACGTGCTGCCATTTGGCGAACTGTTGTGCCGCTGGCACTGACTGAAACTTGGCATTGTAAACTACTTTCCGGGCACTTTGCAATGCTTGCTATCAACGGTATGTCGGCTGAAAGATACAGTTGCCAAGATCTAATTATAAAGATAAACTGTTATGCTCGCCGGCGTGTGTGTATGTGTGTGGCATTTAAATGTAAGAGCAATTGGCGTAAATGTATTGCCAACAGATGCTGAAAAAGGCATAGAAAAGTGTTTACACTAAATAAAGCCCAAGCTTAATGCCAATATAAAAGTATATTCAATCTTGAAAATACGCCAAAAGCACTTAGTGCGATTAAGGTGATGATACAGGCCAAAATTGCATAGGTAACAGCCACATTAACATTCAAGACAACTTATTTACTCAAATGAATGCATTTTCATTTAGATTCAGGAGAAACCAGGGCAATTGTGATACTTCTCGTAATGTTGAATCTGTCTACAGGGTATGCAATTTAAAGTGTAATTATACAGTGGCTGAACACTTAATGTGCGGAAGGCAATTCCCAATCAAGCGTCCACAATTTCTAAACTTCAATAAAATATGATTTTGCTTGAAAGAAATAAAATTACTTTTTTCACTTGGCCCACCATTCTTATACTTATTTTACAACCACTTGGGACTCAACTACGAATCGTAACAAGTTTCTCGTTAGCGCTTCGTTTTGTCAATTTTTTACTGTGTAGTTCAAGATTAATCTAACTTTCCACTGACATTTTCAGCCACGCTCCTTGGGACAAGACTATCGGCATTTTTTATAGCAGCACTAGTTAGTTATCTACATTTTTTTATTTGCAATTCTCTAACTCTATTTTCATTAGAGAACTACGCGTTGCACTTTGCTGACAGCAAAATCCACACCAAGCTAAAGAAATACCAGGACTCCTGCCCCTTTACATTTTCGCTCGAAACACCAAGTGATGTGCTCGCTACTTATTTTAATTGCTCAACATTTATCACAACTCTTGCTTCGACTGCGTGAGTTTGTGATTGTGCGGCTGTGTGTGTACGGTTGTGCGGGTGTGTGTGGATGTGTGTGTCCGTGTGTGTACACGAAGCATGCTTTTAGGGGCATTCGCATTGTTCGTAGCTCTCAACTCGCAGCTTAATCGACTGATTTAGAAGTTTATTGCATTTCCCTTGCCCGGCCTGGCTAGGGAAATGGCGCCGGACACGAAGGTATTTAAACGCTGTGCAAACTGCGAACTGAGAACTGGGAGCTGCAACTCGGGTCTTTAGTCAGCCACTTTATTGTCTCGCTTCCTGGTCCCATCCCGATGCCAGTTTAAATGGACTTCCGTGCATAAAGGATATAATGTTCGCTTGCAAAATGAGCGCCAGGACATAAAAGCGCCAGTTAAAAATGTGCTTCAATTTATTGGCCTGCATTTAAATTACCAACAATTGCAGCCGCTTTCAAGCTACTTTTGCCATGTTTTGTCGAGTTAAGAGCTCAGTTTTGTCATAAATATTTAACTTATTTTCGAAGTAGCGCACCCGCATCGTTTTTGCTGCGTGTCTGTGCTTGTGTGTGTGTGCGTGATTATTTGCCTGACACAATGTCCTTGACCGTTGCGTAAATAATTATGCGGGCATAGCATTGTCCTTTGCCCTTTGTCATTGTCAACGCCCATGCAACGACCATGCGACAATGAATTCAAACCGCAGAGATCCCCCGATTTATGTCACAGACATCGCATATTAATGGCTGCTTATAGAAACGACAGCGCATAATGCTACAAATAATCCATACATATATGGACTGGCTGCCGGGGTGCATGAGAAATTTACATATATTTTTGCGCATCCTAATGGCTCTCATTATAATAATTCTATATGCGCCGAATGCACATTAATTATTTTCAATTGAATTTGCCAAAGAAAGCCACATTTATTATTTATTATTTTCACAAGTTATTATTTACCTTCTTTCGATATTAAAATGTGTTATTTGTCTTACAGTCTTACACAATATAATTTATATACTTAGCAAATCAAAATGGCTCTGAGAGCTAGACAAGTGAATTCAGTCACACCAATACTATGCATTGTCAGGTAAATAGCCAAAATGCGTACGCAAAAACTCGAGCGTTATAAACAGCAATACCGTATGCGGTCCCAGACGTGCAAACGCCGGAATCGAGCCCTTGAAAAATGCCATTGGTCCCTCCAGGGCCGTCCTGTAGAACACATCTGTCATGCTTGCGTATTCACCAGGACGTGCATTCATGCGCCGCGTCTTGGCCACATCTATGGGCTGGGTAAGCCCTGTTGCCGCAATCGCCGATATTATTGATGCGAAGATGTACGTGTCCGTTCGGCTAGGAAAACCTGCGGCGACAAGAAGGTCCTTGGTCTCTTCATAGAAAGCAATTTGGCCAACAGTCATAAAAGCACCACGCGTCGCAGCAATAGAGGCGCCATTAAACAGATGTGAGCAACCCTCTTCGCGACAGACTCGCACAAGTCCGTCGACGGCGTGCTTGTAGCTGCAATTCAGAATATCAGCAAACTACAACAAGTCTGACCCAACACCTATGCTATGGGCGTATATAAATTTGTTTACTTTCTTCGTTGCGCATGGGGCAGCTTTACGTCATTCTGCAGACGCACGTTCAGCAAATCCGCCGGAGCACCGATAAATCCACCAGCGGCTCCGCCGAACGCGGCCAGCAGGACTTTACTCGTCATCGAGGTGGTGTCTATCATGCGGGCACCAGCGGTATAGAGACCAAAACGAGATAACGTGTAAGTGTATTGGCGTAGTAGAGAGGCTGAGATACCATTATACATTGCCCATACGCCCTGTTCACGTACAATTTTCCGGGTCGTTTCTAGAATAGATAAGTTCTCCTTCTGCGTCTGGATCAATACCTTCAGCAAATCCAATGGATGCGTAACCATCGTTGCCATTGAGCTGGCAACACCGCCGAAATACCAACGCGAAATACGACGCTGATCAACCAACATATTAAATTTAAACAACTTATTTCAACAATTAATTCAACTATAAAAATGTCTACCAAAATTATTAACTGTAATAAAATAAGTATGAATTTGTTGTAAATGACGCAAATTGCAAGGCAACCTGACGTCATTTACCCAATAAAAAATTGGCATTTTGTGTCCTTGCTTTCAATTGCGTGACTCCGGCTACTTGAGCCAGCCATGTGTAACAGGTGGCAATGTGCTAGCTTAAGGTATTAGGATGGTTGATCACCTGTACACATTTAGATGATAACATTATACAGCGTGTTGTCGAATAAGTGGAAAATAATGATCCAAGTATCTAAACATTTTTATATTAAATACATATTTTCTAGATTTAGAATTCAACAGAAACCAAAAAACTAAAACAAAAATAATTTCGCTTTTCATGATTTATTTTTTGAGTTCTACAAAAGCATCTCCAGTCTGAAACCAGAGCGTCCAATGGTGTACACAATTATATACTTCAATTGATTTCTTTATTTTTTGTCAAGAACGCAACCGTTTATTTAACACATGACACGGTTAATCATTATAACTATGACTATTATGATTTACTATAAGGATTCTTCTTGGACAGATGCTGTAGAAATGAAATAATTAGATCGTTTAGCTGCAAAATAATTCAACACTTACTGTTGAAAAATGTATTCTTTAAAGTAGCATGGAATACTTACAAGTATGTGTTATGTGTACATGAATTTAAGTAATGACAGGATTTCTATTTAGAAAAGTCCTGTTTAAATACAGTATTTAACTGTATTTGCAGGATACAATAATTCCAATAAAATGATGACAAACATTTGGATTACCTATTAAACAATGTCGCTTCAAATTTTCCTTTCTCATATACGGCTTAAATGTAGTAGAAGTATGGATTATTCTTTGACATGTCCTGTAGGTGAAAAGGTAATATAAATCCATTCAGTTAAACAGATATCATGATATCAACGTACACTATTTCGGAGGAGTGAGATGATAACCACAAAAGCACCCAAGCTACATAAATAGTTGGATATTTGAAGCTTCTGCTCATCTTGTAAAGTGTTCAGATACTTATAAGCGAGATAGCCCAAATAAAGTAAACACATATTGAATAGAATTATGATAATTGAACCCTTAATTATAGAGCGCGAAGGGAAGTAATTAACGCGATTTTCTGGAAAGAGAAGGCTTTAGGTCGTGCTAAATGCGCGCACACACACACTTACTTCTGGGCAAGGCCTGGAGAATTTGAATATTTCCTTGCTCGCAGGCATTTACCAAACACGTCGACAATTTAGGCATATTTTTTTTTAAACAACAGCTCTTTTTTTAAACTAAACACTTACAACAATAAATATTTTTGAGAGAAAACTCAATGCACGCAATAATTCGATTAGCTTGTGCTCAGCCCAAGCAACTAAATGCCAAATCATTTACACCTGATTTACCAAATGGAACCAGATCCAATATCAAACCCCAGACGCGACCCCTTACGAACTACGCTAATACAAAATACCGAACAAAACGCTCGCGACACGCAACTGACGCAAGTGCCAAAAGCAAAACACGCACATTTTGATTATGCTAATGTTATTGTTGTTATTGTTGTTGTTGTTGGTGGTCAGTTCATAAATATTTTGACAGCACACACAGAGCGGAAGCGGATGCGAAAGCTTGGCATGTCCTTCAGATGCCACAATGTTTATACAAGTGCCCCTCTTTGAATTCCACAGTTAACTCTGACAAATGCACAACAGACTGTCGCATGCTTTTCTAGTGGGCATAAAAGTCAAAATTGTTATTGGTAAGAGTTAGTTAATTATGATGGACATGCATAAAAAAAAGTAGTGCGTCAGCCATCAAATTGTTTTACTGCTGCGCAAGCCAAAAATATTTGATTGCTTTCAGATGGGAAAAGTCCTAAAAAAATGTCAAGCCAAATATGAAAAGTGCCAGCATATTATGTTTGTTATAAAAGCTAAAATCTATTTAAACAGCAAGCATTATTTTGAGTCAGCAATAAAAAATATTGCAGTTTTTTGTTTATATATATATATATATATATATATATATTTGAGTTTTAGTTTGGTTTGACAGAGTGCGGTTGCGCAAAATGTTATTTAAAGTTGAGTGACAAAGTGAAGGGGAGATAAAGAGAACATTGTTATGTGGAGTTGCAATTTTCTGAAAATATTTAGTTTAAATAAATAAACTTTAAATTATTATTTTGCTGAGCTTTACTATTCTGAAATGAAACTTTTTCAGTAGACAAATACATGCTTTAGCTTGATGCCATTTTTTATTTAATCATGTGATGAACATTTCGAAAAATGTATACACAATAATGTTTATGTTTCAAGCCTATATGAACAATTTTGGATAACAGAAACTGCTGCCATTTCTTGTTTATTTGCTGCTGCAGCATTGCTCCTTGGGTCCAGACTTGCACACACAGTTGCAATCCTTATGGCAGGCACAATTGCTGCCACACTTCTGTGCCGTGCACTGGCAATCTGTATAAATGAAGTTAGTCAGTATCCAATTCGTATTATTTATTTAAAATATATATTAAACTTACTAGTTCCACAACCCTTGCAGCCCATTATGCTATTATTTTTTTAGTAATTGTTGATAGCTTTCCGAAATGAAAAATGTTTAATTATTGCAAAGCTTTTCACTTGCTGTACTCAACTGTTGATGCCTCTACTGAGCAGGCATAATATATTTATAGCAATTCCGAATTCAATGTCGGGTGCAAAACCAAGCAGACAGGAATGGGCCAGGCTTATCAGCAGCTCGTGCGCAAAGTGCGTAACTGCTCGCGCCTATCAGTTGTTGGCATTATGCAAACAAATTTTGCGCCCAACACCTGCCTCGCTTCGGCGTCCAGCACGATTGGCCGTGCTGCACACGGCGCACTTATCAGCTTATCAGTATGCAGTATGCTTGCATACACAAATCGAAAAAAAAAAAAAAAAAACAGGCCGGTGCGCCAATACGGCTGCCAGGCTGTAACGTGATTCAATATTTATATGTATGTATAGAGTACGTTAACTCTATCCTGCAGGGTCTGCGAAAAACAGTCAAGCAACTTATCCACAAAATCGGTTCGATTCGCCAAACAAATAAAACTTCAATCAATTTAATGGCAGCATTTCGTTTTCGTTACAGTTTTCTAAACTGCCGGAAACTTGGACTGGCTAGCCAAATCGACTTTGTAGTAGGAAACTGCCTTACGCGCTTTAAAAATTGAATTTGGACAAAATTAATCAACATATTGCATAGGCTTTATTTTGAGCAAAAAACTTTGTATCAAAATGTTGCACATTTTTGGGGATGCTTTTTAAAGTGCGCCAAAGCTCATTCCAAGTAATTGAGAAAATTCGATTGCATACCTTGCGGCATGAAAGGAGAAATATTTGCATGTAGCAAGTTTAGTTGCGAGATATTGTACAAATTTATTTAAATAAGTAAGCAGATAATCGGACGATACTCTAGACGTCGTATAAAAACAAAATATATTCATATCACCTGTGAGAATTATTGGTCGTCAAAAGGTATTTTTATGGGCACAGCTTACACTGTTTGCAATAACATTCTCTTTCTGTAAGAGCTCAAAAGCATTATGCAATAGCTTCTGAAAGAATCACATTCTTATCCTTTGCAATACATAATATTTGCCAGCTCGAGTAATATAAACTTTGTTTATTTGCGACTGCACTCGCTGCGAGTGCACAAACAGCTCTAAAAATAGTCAATGGGCTAAAATGAATAAAATCCACTTGTTAGCATCACATAACAAAGAAGAAATTCAAAGGCACAATATGATACTGTGAATGAATACGAGTATAAACTAAACTAAAATGTGTCTCTGGTATTGGTTACTGCTGTGCTTGGAGTTGAACACGTTGATTGTTCTGGCGGTGCTGGATCGGTTAGTCCTTTAGCTCGGCCGCTGTGTTAACGAATCCAGTTGTCTGTGTCAGCTGCAGTTGTTTCTGTTCGGCCTCCGAAGCCTTTTGCTCGGGCGTCTTGGCCCACTCCTGTAGCTCGCCCGAGGCATAAAACCAGTAGATGACGCAGCCAACAAGATAAATGCCAGCCGATATAAAGAAGACCAGGCGCCATTCATAACGGTCTCCGCTATCGCCCACAATGTAGCCCGTCAGCAGGGGACTGACAATGCCGGGAATGGTGGCAAACGTATTGCCAATGCCCATCAGAACACTGGCGTGCTGTGGTGCAATGTCCAAGTGATTGACACTGCAAGCGTTTCAAGAATTAAGGCGCTGCACAGCTGACAGCTGCATTTGTGGCAACTTACGCGAATCCGGACCAAGCAAAGGCGCCCAGGCCGACGGCAATTGTAATAAAAACAACCGACCAAGTGGGATCCATAATATAAGCCGTTAGCATCATGAAGACCGTTTGAGCCAAGAAAGCACCACAATTGAAGTTTCGACGCACTTGTGTTGTAGTCCAGATGCCCTTCACCTGCAGCCAATCGGCCAGATAACCAGATATGGCCAGCAAAATGCCCATAGCCAGGTAGGGCAGAGCCGATAAGAAGCCAGTTTTGCCCAGATCAAAGTTAAGCGTATCTGTAAGGAAAATAGTATTAAATACTTTCTAGATTGAGCTCCTAGTAAACAGCTTACCCTTAAGAAAACTGGGCAGCTGTGTGAGCAGCGTATAGAAGCCCCAGTTCTCAGAGAAGTGTGATGCAATAATGGCATAGAAGGGCATCGATGTGAAAAACGCTTTCCAAGGGTGCTTGATCTTCTTGGCGCCCACATAGCCAATCGATTTCTGTATGTACTCACACTCCTCTTTCGAGCAGAAGCGATCCAGCTCTGGCCCCGCACGTACAAACAGCAACCACAGTATCAACCAGACTACACCAATTGCTCCAAATACGTAGAAAACGCTCGCCCAGCCGTAGCGTGCTGCCAACATACCAGACGATGGCATTGCAATCACCGTTCCAGCATAATTGCCTGCAAATGCAATTGATGCCATGCGAGAGCGTTCCAATGGCGGCGACCACCTAGCCCACACGGCATGAATGCCCGGAAATGTGACGCCTTCGAATACGCCCTCAATAATGCGCACAGCCAGGAACATTCCCAAGCTGTGGTTAGCTGCCAATGGCGTGAGCAGGGTGAGGATGGCAGTTGTGCCGATGCCCAAGCCAAAAACCTGTCACATAAAAGGGAAGGAAATAAGAGAAAAAAAACATATAATAATTGAAATATTCTATAGAAAATATGCAAAACAAAGTTATTAAATAATTTTTAAATTAAAGGAAATATCTGTTATCAAGCTTACAAGATTTCCGCCAACTTTGGTGCCAATGTAGCCGCCTAGGAACTGTGTCATGATATAGCCATAGAAGAAGGAGCTCAATATTAGGCCCTTCTGCTTGGGGTCCCAGGGAAAGTCCTGTTCGTAGGATATATTACCATCGGCATCCACCACGGTGCGATTCTCGGTCATAGCCACAATGGCCACAGAAAGATTCACGCGCAGCGAGTAGACATTGAAGAAGCCAAAAAAGGCCAACAGCACCACAATGTAACGCTGCTTGCGCCAGAATCTCCAGGTGAGGGGTTCACTCTCAACAAGTTCATTGCTATTGGGCATGAATAGAACAAAGAAATTGTTTGGTTATTATGGAGCACCATATGCAAATGGTTGTTTTGTCTGATAACGCTGCCGGCCAAGGCCGAATCAAATGGGAAGCCACTTTCGCTGGCCATTTATAAATTGTTACTGGTTTATTTGTGTACAACATTTTTCAGCGTCTGCAGTTGCCAGTTGGGCCAGAACCAGTTTCTCTGCTATGCGCGGCATTAACAACTGGTTTGCTTTTGACCCATTTGGCTGCTGAAGCTGCAGCATTTCAAAATATTACATATGCGCACAGTATACAAATCCTACATAGAAGTAGTTTGTCTTGCATTCAAGCAGCAAGAACATTTCCTTGATAATTGCTTGGCCATTGGTTATAACCATTGGCATAACACGGAAACGAATTTGTATTTTCTTGTTTTTTGTTTTATAGTTTTGTCAGTTGTTGCTTTAAGTTGAGGTAGTCACATATTTGATTTCAACTTACTTGTTGTGATGCGGCTGATGGCCATTGTGCTTTTCGACTTTTGTTGACTCCAAATCTGTCATATTGCGTTCTGTGTGTATGGGGCGTATGATCAATCTATTCAGGCATTAAGGGCCTGCAAGTAAATTAGATAAACACACAAAAAAGCAATTTAAATATAAATACCAAATACGCCGGCTAAATGTCTAATATGCGTGCTGGCGTTTCATTAAAATCAAATTAAATTCAAGTTCCCCTTCTCATTCAT